GGGAGACAGAGGGGGAGAGAGAGGGGGAGACAGAGGGGGAGAGAGAGAGGGAGAGAGAGGGAGAGAGAGAGGGAGAGAGGGAGAGAGGGAGAAAGAGAGAGAGGGAGAGAGAGAAAGGGAGAGGGAGAGAGAAAGGGAGAGGGGGAATGAGAGAGAAAGAGGGGGGAGGAGAGAGAGAGAGAGAGCTATGGTGGGCACTAAATGTACGCACCGCTTCGCATAATGCGAATCGTTCCGTGTGCAAGTTGAGAGACGGGAGGAACAGACGCGCAGACGGACGGACAGACACGCGCCATAATGCGAGGCAGCACACGGGCAGTACGGCGAAGCGCTCGCTCATTCGCTTTTTCTTCTTCTTTTCTTTTCTATATAGATTACAGAAGCTTATTGCAGCTTCAAAAGACGGCTGACGGCAAAATAAAGAGATATTTGGACCAAGTAGTGAGCCACGAAAAAAAAATGCATTGTGAGACGGGAGCGTGTTTCGATATCATTACGTATTACAAATATCATAGTGTCTATAAAATATTTTCGCGTTTGCCGGCTTGGTGCCAGGGACCTTGACGTCGCACCCCTCCCCTACCCTCCCCGAGGCAGGCGCCTCCCTTCCGACACAAACTGGCATCAGACTTCGGGCATAACAGGAAAATAAAGCCTTAGTGCCAATCTAGATACGGCAGGCGGCGATTAGAGTCCGGAGCGCTTCAGACAAGCAGGGGCAGCAGCAAACCCATGCTCTGCAGGGGACACGCGCAATCCGCCCTGGCGTGACCTAGCGATGAAATACGAGCGAATAAGAAACTCACTCCGTCCCCACTGTACGGAAAAAAATTGGAGGGAGGTACAGAACCAACTTGAACAAAAGTTTAGGTACCGGACGGCTGCGTCTGTATTGTGCAGTGCGATTTGCATATTGGAATATTAAAAAAATGAAGGCACAGACGAGCATTTGAATGGGGAGTCTCCAAAAAATATGGAGGGGTGTGGGTTCCGTCATGATTTTTGGTCTATTTTTCGGTGTACTTCAGGCTGCGCTACCGCCCCCTAGAGACGCCTAGAGCGGCGCCAAGGGGCACGCCGTCACACCGGCTGCACCCGCAAACAGTAGGAAGCGAAACGGAAACGGCTGCACCGCCTCGATATTCACCCGCAGCGTGCAGGCGTCGATTCATTTTACAAATGCAGAGCGTAATGTACGGTAAGGTAATCTAAGGCTATAAAACGATGTCAACGAATTCACACATTCAAATTTTAAAAACTGCCTCATTTACCTATACTGCAACTGATACTGCAAACGTGTTTTCACGATTGAATTTTCCAAAAGTTTGTAATCGAATTTGCTGTCGCAAGTTGGCAGCGCAGCGGAGCCCTTGAACTCGCGCATTGTCAGGCAGGTCTGTCCCTTCTCTGCCTTCCTATCCCAACAACGACCTCCGTGAGGCAACCAAAGACCCACAGCGCGTGAGGCAACGCCTCGGGCAACGGTCTGCTGCCAACTGTGCGCCAGATAAACATATGAATGAGCCATTCAGGGCTGCCAATTCCACTCGTAGAATACAAACCGACGCGCCGGTCATCAAACGCCGTTGCAGGATTTATTGTACACCATACACTACGGACTGTCCCCATTCAACATCGTCACCTCCAGCATAATTTAGATAGTACATTGGTGGGTATGAAAGTGCTACCACATTATGATGGGTATATTTTAATCTTCACACACCATCAAAGACTGAACTTAGGACGTAACCGAACACCAAAACAGTGCCATACCCGACCGGTCATCCACATCACGGAGACCTGAATGCAGGGCATGCAGGATGAGATAGATAGATCGATAGATAGATAGATAGATAGATAGATAGATAGATAGATGGATGCGCGTTGTCGTGTCAAGGCGCCTTCTGCCGCCCGCTCTCGCTAGTCATGCTATAGCGGTGGGATGATCACAGGGGTCATGGAGTGAGTGCGCAGAATGACCACAACGACCGGGACCAATGCGTCCGTTCACGGGCCGGCGCCATTCTCACCGCGTTAGCCACTACTTGCGAGTCCGAAAGCGCGCGTGGGGGACAGCTGGGAGGGAAGAGGGGGTAGAGAAAGAGAAGAGGGAGCCACTGTTAAAAATTTTGTTGTAAATTTACAACACATTTGATGTAAAGTTTGATAGCAACAAATGTTGTTAAAAAACAACACATGTTGTAATCCAACAACATTCACCAAATTTCCTGAAACGAATTTTCATTCCAAAACAGTGGTCATTTACTTTCGTCTGCACCAAAAAAATTGTAATAAAACAAACTTGTTTGTTCTGTAACGATACATCTTGCTATCAAACTTTACAACGATATTGTTGTGGTTTTACAACATGGTGAAACGTGGGAATCATTGTTATGGACCACTGCGGGCAAAATAGAAGGAATTTTGAAACGTGCCAATAAAAACGAACGATGTTGTTTTTTTAACACACTAGTCATTACAAAGGGTGTGATAAATTTACAATTTTTTTTAACAGTGAGGGGTAGGGAGAGGCAGAGAGCGAAAGAGAAAGAGAGAGAAAGAGAGAGAGAGAGAAAGAAAGAGAGAGAGAGAGAGAGAGAGAGAGAGAGAGAGAGAGGGGGGGGGGGGGGGACTCCTCCTCCACCACAGAAGAGAAACCGAAAGTATTGGACAGGATTGATAACTTTAACAGTGCACGGAAATCTCATTCGATGAACAATTATATTTCGCGTCCTTGTCCGTGTTTTGCCCCGTGCTTTCGGAGGAGACGGCATACGCAGCGCGCGTCGTGCGCGTGGCCCCGAGGTGGGCATTAGGCAGACGAGAGAGAGAGAGAGAGAGAGAGAGAGAGAGAGAGAGAGAGAGAGAGAGAGAGAGAGGGAGAGCACAAACACACCGACGCGGGTGAGTGGTATGACCTGGGGCCCTCACTGATTAGAGGCACCTTCGTGTTGCACGCATCTACACTGCTCTTCAAGGTATCACACTTCGTCGTGCAGAAAGTGCGGTGGAAAGAGCGAATATTGCTCGTGGCGAAACCAAAGTCTTTCTATCGTTCGGCGAACGGGAGGCAGCAGGCAGCCACATCCAGTAGGTGGTGATCGCCACCCGGGAGGTAGGCAACAGCAGTCCACGGCTGCGCTGAACGCCGCTCCCTTGCCTACCCGACAGGGGACCGCCGGGGAGGTAGGCAACAGCGGTTCACGGCTGCGCCGCCCGTCGCTGCATTGCCTACCCGACAGGCGCTCGGCAGAGCCTGGAGCCTGGCGCGGCGGCCGGCCGACCCGCTTCGGTCGATGGAGGCCGTGTGGACGCTCCAGCTGGCTACCGGCCGCCATGCGCCCCTCCCGACGCCCCATGACCACGCTACACAGCGCAATGTCAAAGAAAAT